CGGGCCCCCCAAGCAGACTGGGGAGGGGGGGAGCAGCTTTTCTCGCCCCGGAGGAGGCGGGCGGCGGGACCAGGCGTCCTGCCGCTCCAGTCCTCCGGGGTGAGAAAATCCCCGTTCGTAACTGCGGATCCGACATTAGTTGGATCCGCGTAACTCGGGGACTGCCTGTACCTACTCCGTGCCGCGTGTAGCCGCAGGCACGGAGTCCGAACTACCTGGGCTTTAAAAATGGCTGCGCCCGGCAAGATGCAAATGAAGCCCGGGATATTTAAATCCCGGGCTTCATTTGCAACTTCGGTTGCCTACATTAACCACCCTAGTTCGAACTAGGGTGGTAGTGTAGACATACCCATAGATCTACATGTACAAGGTGTTTAATTCAACCAGTATAGACTTAATTAGATCCATATAAAAGTGCTTATACAATTATAGCTTATTTCTACACAAGACAGGTGAATTAGCTATGCTAATTTAAATAATCTTTATAGTAGTATAAATGCTCCTACGCTAGGGATTAGGTAAAAAATCACACCTTTAACTAAAGAAGTGCATCACTACAGAATCTGTGTAGACAAGATCTGTGATTTGTGCTTTATACTCTTTACAACATATTGAAAATTAATTATTTTATAAGAAGACTTCAGTTTTAAAAAAACATATACACAGTAAAGCATCTTCACTTTTAGAGAGCCTAAACTTTATTCCTAGTAGCTTCCTAATAAATCCCTAGTATCCCATAGAAAATTTTAAAAAAAAGAACAAATAGTTCTGCAGCACCTTAGAGACTAACAAAAAATGTAGATGGTTGTTAGTCTCTAAGATGCTGCTGAACTATTAGTTGTTTTTTTCAGTTACAGACTAAACACAGCTACCCCTCTGAGACTAATATCCCATAGGATATTATTGGTTCAGCCTATACTAATGTAGAAATGCTTTATATTATAGACTTCTTTAAATCAAAGCTCCAAAAATGAGTATATAGGGACTCATAATTTACAGTACTCCAGGAATTAATTTGGAATATGCTTTCATAAGGATGCATTTGTAACATGTTTTTGTACAAAGAGTATTTCACAAACTTTTGGCTCAGTTATGCAAGCTGTTGAGCACCCTCAGCTCCCAATAATTGTGAGAGTTGAGGTGTACGGGAGAAATTAATACAATATTTTGAATATTCCCTTTGAAAATGTAATTAATCATTTCCCCTTCTAATCTTTCAACATGAATGATTTAATTTGTAGATTTTTTTCAAAGTCAAATAGAGAATGTAGTCAGAATTGATTGAACACTTTAGAGATTTTTGTGTTAAAAAAGATTCATTTTTTAAAGAGTTAATTGAGGGAAAACCCTACTTGTTATGAAAATGCGAAAAAGTTATGTGTTGTTGCATAAAGAGTTCTCAATTCCCACCCCCATTTATTTTCCCTCATTTATAAAGTGGATTGTTTTCTAAACTAACAATAAAATAAAGAACTTGGCCCTATCTTTTATGCTTGTGCTTTTATATTGTCACTTAGGGTACGTCTAAACTATAGGGTTTTGTCGACAGAAGTTTTGTCGACAGTATCTGTCGACAAAACTTCTGTCGACTAAGAGCGTCTAGACACATTTAGTTCTGTCGACAAAGCAAGCTGCTTTGTCGACAAAACCCTGTAGTCTAGACACAACCCTACATGCAATAACACCTTCTGTCGACAGAACTCTGTCGACAGAAGGTGTTATGCCTCGTAAAATGAGGTTTACCAGCGTCGACAAAACTGCTGAGTTCTGTTGACGTTATGTCGACAGAACTCAGCGGTAGTGTAGACTCAGGTATAGTTTTGTCGACAAAAGTCCACTTATGTCGACAACACTCATGCAGTGTTAATCACTGATAATACTTTTTATGTTCTTATGCATTTTTTGTCATCTGCTAACCATAAGCCACTTACTATAGTGGGTAGAAGTCAAATCCTTTAAGTCTTTTTTAGGCCTTGTCTACACTCAGAACATTAAAGCGCTGTAACGTGATGATGTGGTTGTGGCTCCAGCACAGGGGGAGAGTGTAGGAAAACCACCTCCGTGAGAGGTGTAACTCCAAACATAAGGAGCTTGTCTACACAGGCAAGTAACTTGCTGTTCCCAGAGAGCATGATCTTTCACACTCCTGAGCAAGAAAGTTTCAGCACTGTAATTTCCCAGCATAAACAAGCCCTAGTCAGTTCTCCCTACAATCACTATCCATAAGGACTCATCCTATCCAGAAAAGGTGATTTCCAAATTATCCCCTAATACCAATGTAAACCACTTCAATGTAAGCCATTTTTAGTTGTCACATTTTCACCAACTCCTTCAGAACACTTGCTCCTGGAGTGATACATCTTCAGTACCGACAGTCCACTGTTATCTAGCGCACTAGTACACAGATGTTGCTGTATGATGCAAGGAATTCTGTAGTGAAAAATTACAGCGCTGCTTCAGGAAGAGCAGAAAAAAGGGAGGAATGACAAGTAAGCAACTTCAGTCTTTGGCACAGTTCACTGAGCTTCCTTTCACTTTAAGAGCACAACTTAATGAGATCCATCTTGGAAAATTAAATGAATTGGCCTCCATGTGAAGGGCGTAGTTGATAATTGTGGATGAAAGTCTGTTTGCTGCTCAGAAGCCATTGCCCTTTAATATGACAGTGAATTCTGCCCTGCCCATTTATGAGTGATTAACATTGAACAGGGGCTGGAAGTGTTAATGTTGGTGTTCTCCTCCTCCTTTTGATAGCTGTTTTTTTCATACTGCCCTTGGTTCCCACAGACACAACGGGAACTGTGAATACATTGCAGAAATTCTCAAGTATGTTCTGTCAAATGAGGTCTATAAACCTGTGCATTCCTTAAGAAGTGCAACTTAGTGAATTTGTGGTTGCTGATTTTTTTCTAAATCATTGTTATTGGTATGTCTGGCAGTATATAATAAATATACATAAGTCACATTTGTAGTTAAAATGCTCAGTTTATATGAATGATAGAAATGTAAATCAGCCTGAAAGAGTGCAGTTAAATTACTTTTACTTTATTTCACTTTTCCTTTTCTTCCTTTTTTATCAGCCTGAAAGAGTGCAGTTAAATTGCTTTTACTTTGTTATTTCACTTTTCCTTTTCTTCCTTTTTCCTTCCTGTTTTTGCCATCTTCTCCCTTTTTATCCTGTTGTCTGTTAGCCATCGACTGCACAGATGCAAGCAGAGCGCACCCGGCTGAAACGATCGATAACAGTGATTTCTTCAGTGAGTGAATATAAAACTGTGAAAGAGTTTTAGGGGTGGAGAATAGTAGACTCTGAATGCCTTAATAAATGTATTGTTTGTTTAACGTGTGACCTGATGTCTCACTCATTGCATTCCACATAAACCATATAGTGAAAGAGGCAGGAGTATTTTTACTCTCAGGCATTGATGGGACAGGCACTATGAACTTGCCATTTGGTTTCTTACACCTTTTAGTGAGGAACTCTACCAAATGAAATAAAGGAGAACAAAATTTCTTTGGAAAACTGAATTTTTTCTTTTTGTGTATGAGAACAGAACTCTATGTAGTGAGATTTTCAGGGGAAAATGAATTTGCCCCTTGATTAAAAACAGGTACACTAAATTTCAACCAAAAAAAGGTAATGCATTGGGAGAGTTATTTAAAAGAGAAAATGCACCTTTAGAATGGAAATGTTTGGATAACAGTTAATGCAGGAGTCCATCCATATTAGGCTATAATAGTTTTAAACTATCCTTCATATATATGTTTTCTATGAAGCCACAGTAGAAATGAGACTTCTAAAGAATGTGAGGTGTGAATGATTGTGAAAAGTAAGACACAAAGAGGGTGAGGTCCATGATTTTTAGCCACTAGCAGAGTTATGAATTTAAGTTCCCATGCTCCTCTTTTGAAGATGTAGTGCAGGTTTCCTTTGAGGACAAAGACTGAGAGGCCAGATATGGAGTGATCAGGTGTTTGTCTCTTTATCATTGTTCCATGTAAGTTTACTTGAGAACATAGGGATTGCTGTTATTGGGATGTTCAATGCACTGGACGACATGCACCGCCTGATGTGATAGACACATGTTGCTGTTAGACTCATCAGTCTTGAAAGGTGTGTTGTGGAGAGTATTGATCATCAGAGCAGGAGTCATGTGGGCAGGTTTTGCACCTGTTTCTATGAACTGGTCTGGTGCCTCTTTGAATTGGCTTACCCTGGTCTGCAGGGAGCTAGCTTCTGACTGATGATCTTGGAGAGGCTGGGGAGTTGTTTAACGGCTAGAAGAGGGTGTTCTTGAAGAAGAGTTCTGTGAAGCTCAAAAGCTTGTTCCTATCAACAGAAGTTGGTCCAATAAAAGATATTGCCTCATCCACCTTGCCTTTCTCATATCCTGGGATCAATATGGCTTTAACAACACTGCAAACAACAATCAGAAAAGTAAAGAAGGTCTGAGCCTTTTTTGTGGGAAGAAACCTAGAGGACATGTTTTTTAAGCAGTGCTTTGAAATGGGATGAGGAGAATCGGTGAGATGGAGGGAGCTGAGCAGCAAAGAATCAGCCAGTGAAAAAGAAGCAAAGCTTATGTTATACTTTTTTCTCTGTCCAATAGGTGATATTATGATGGTTAGAAATAAATATCTCCTATTTTATGTTAGGCCATCTAAGATCCTCTGTAAATAAAGGAAGGATTAGGGGTTGGGTGAGGAAAGAGGGCGCTCAGGAATGATGTTCTAGAGAGCATGGTTAACACATACAAATGAAATGTGTTGTTCCATGATCCTGCAGACCTTATTTATCAAAGCAGTCCCAGTAATTTTATTGGCTCAAGCTGTCTTGGCAAATTAGCTTCCACTTAAGTTTCTTATAACATACTGTTTGTGGATGGGCATGTAAAAAATCAAATGTGTGCTTTTAAATATGAATCTGAAAAGTTTATTTTGCTTTGTTTTTGAGGGGAGGAAATAGATTTAGAACCAAATCCTGCTCACTCACCTTCATCACATGGGTAGGCTCATTAACTTTTCCCATGAGTAAGAGTTGCGGGCTTTACATTTTCACTTGGCTTATATAGTATCTTATTCATAGAGTGCAAGGGTGGGGAAACTTTCTTGGGTCAGAGGCTGCTGACCCACAGAAAAAAATCAGTTGGGGGCTGCACACAAGTGAGAAGAAAAAAAAAATCCCGACTACCCACCCAAGCCCATGCTAGTAACTCCAGCAACTGGAAGGAGCACCAGCCTGAGCATCGAGGGCTGTATGTAGGCAAGCCTGGGCTTTAGGTTCCCCATTTGGATGCACAAAGGCCAATTTGTATCTTGCCTTTGTCATGTTTTCCTGTATGTTCCTAGTCCTTCTGATTGGTTGTCTGATATTTAGCCATTTCTTTGCTATTCAGGTTTTCTTTTCCATCTGCTGGCCAAACAACACAGTGCTTTAAAGTTAAGTGCATGTTGATAAAAGATGTCAGAGTTATATCCCTAGAAGGCAAAGACACATGACATAGTGTATTGTGGAATACGTGATGGATTTTAGCACTTGTGTTTTTATTTCATGTATACCAAGTCAATATTTAAAAATGTCTACATACACTCTTGTATTATTTAGTCTTCAATATATATTCTTCCTCTTAATGGCAGTTTAACTTCTGTTGTGATCCTACATTTTGGCATAATCTGAACTTGGTTTGATATGGCCATTTTGACTTAGTCCAATAAAATGTGCTGCTATGACAATCAGCTAACACACAGACTCATAATTAGGCACAAGATCTCTTTAAAGCGGTCTGATAACCCCCAGCATGACTTGATTTTAATTTACATTTTAAAAAAATGTATTTCGTCTTTAGCACACACTTTTATTAATGTTGTTTGTTAGCCCTTTCCCAGCTGATGGCCAATAGCTCTGTGAGTGGGAAGAATCTTATGGGGTGGTATATCATGCTTTATCCTGTCTCATCTAGAGGCTGTGTAATCCACGCTCCCTTGAATCAAACATTTTAAAGTTTCAAGACCTCCTGTCTGATATTTTATAATTCTAAGGCTCTTTAACAATTCAATTAAAATATGGGTCCTTTTCTTGCAATATCTCTGGCTAAATGACAAATGGTAACAAAATGCTCAATATGTGATTCTTTCTTCAGTACTTTTCACATTCATTAATGTTTTTCAACTTTGTATTCTTACTAGGTTGTGAAACCATGGTTTGAAAATGACAAAATATGGGTGTCGTGGACCCACAGTATTGATATTAATGTTACCAATGAGTTTCTAATAAAACTGAGAGATCACAAAGTAATTCTTACAATATGGGATACCAAGGACAAAGTTTCTGCAAAAGCTAAGTTTAGTAAACCTGGGGCTCAGAATTTACAGGTAGAGGATTCTGATGATATTGGTAAGTTATGTACTAATATATAACCACGCTCCTAATAAAATGTATTATGAGAAAGGAAGCCTAGCACAAACAAGAAAACAAAACGATATTTTTCGTTTTAATACCAGATTGCAATAATTCATCATAGTATTACTTCTGTTTTTCATCATCAACTTAAATGTGCTCACTGTTTAATCATTCATTAGATGATAATTTCAGATTTGTGTTATGAGAGCCCCATTAGAATTATTGCTGTTTGCTCATATTTTAACAAACATTTCATGTTTGCCCCCAGCAAACTTAGAGATAGATCTCTGAAATCTTTCATATGTAGAACTGCAGAATCAGATTTATAATCTGGGTTTTTCTTTTTTCCTTTTAGTTAATGATTGGGGCCCTTTTGTGTAGTGAGGGAGTACTTTTGTTTAAAAGTTGCACTCATCTTCTTTTCTGATTTTCTTATGCTAATAGTATTCAAATTGCTGTATTTGCTCAGGAAAGCTCTTCTGAGCCTGTATATTTCTATAAAATAAAAAATTATCCTTATCCCTCCAGATATTTGTGTATATGGATTTTAAGTACTGGCTACACTGTGGATTTTTAAAAAGGAATTACCATTATCAAATAAAATATTTGAACAAATACTAAAAGTTCTGTCAGAATGAAGGATCTGTTACTAGGAGTCTTTACTGGAGCTTTAGATTCCTATTTGTCAAAGCAGTCCAACCATGTAATTCTCATGCACCAGGAAACAGCCATTGGTGGGAGTGGAAATTCATATGTTTTCACTCAGTGTTTAGGAGAGGGTTCCAGGCTGGGGCAGAGTGTTATGGTTGAGAGTGGTGTGTGGGTTTGGGGCCATCACTTATGCATCAGGATGAAGGCAAAAAGGGCAAGAGGCCAGAGGTTCCACCTCCTAAGCTCTCATTCCATAAAGAATCTATGTGGAGAGGTCAATTTCTGTCATCTGTTCCCATGGCTTCTTACCTCCCTGGCTGGAGTAATCTACTGTGAACTCCTGTGAACCTCAGTTACCCCCTCAGATTGTGTTATAATATACAGCACAGAGAGTGAAAACCACTTCTGCTCACAGCCTTTGCAGGTTTTGGAGAGAACCTTCTTGACTCTTCACCTTGCTTGACTTTCACCTCCAAACCCACAGAGTAGGGAGCTCATAAAATGGGTTCCCTTGGATCATAGGGGAAGGAAGAGCATGATGTGGAGGATATACTTTCCCTGCAGTGGCCCAAAAGTGAGGTCTGAATAACAGAAAAAATACTATAAAAGTAAGGGAAAATGATGAAGTCTGAATGGCAATTTCTTGTTACCTTTTTTTCTCTCCAGGTGGGGTAAAATATACGGTGTTATTGCAAAGAAAACTCTTCGAGGACAATCAGCCAGAACTCAGCAGTATTAAAATGAAAGGTGTGAAGGTAGCCATTGCACCAGAGAAACCTGCCGTGGGTTTTGCAGCAGGTAGAGTAATCTGAATATGGGCTAGGGGGGGATCCTGGGATAAGAAGCTCAGGGTAGGAAACTGGGGTGGGAGCTGGAAGTTAGGGACTGAAAAGGCTGGGACTCATTTAAGAGCCCTGAGGAAGATATTGCAACTGATGAGGCAGGGAGACTAAAAAACATGGATGCAGAGCCTGAAGTGAGGGCTGACCTGAGATGAGTGTCTGACACAAGGCTGGACAGGATGCAGGTAGAAGGTATTAGGTAAGGGGGAAAGGACGGAAGGATTGTATACCCAGTAGAGAGCACTTTCCCCTGAATTTGACCATTCATCTGCCAGCAAATATCTCCGAAGCCCACTGGAAAAGTTTTTCTGAACCCCCAACTCCTGCCAACAGTTACTTTGTTAGCTGAAGTGGCAAAGGACTTTGATGTGAATCTAAAGGTTCCAACCCTGCAGATGACCTGTGTAGGGTTCAGTAGGATACCACATGAGGGGATCTGTCTTTTTAGTTTGCCTTTTTTTTATAAACCTAGGGAATTGCACACAAAAAACTGTTAAAAGAATGTTAAGGGTGCAGAGTCAAGCACACAAAAATTAGGAAATGCCAGAACTGTCTGTGCTTGAGTATGCACTTTGTCATGGACTTTTAACACAGTTTTTGTTTGTAACAAATAGCACTATTTGGAGAGGAACCTCCTGTGGACCTCCAAAACCCTATTCTGACCTGAAATGTGTCTTAGGGAAGTACTTTCCTGTTTTTTATTAATGAAACATTGTAGTATTAGAATTTTGTTTGTTCCTCTTAGGCTATGGAGGAGTAAAACTGAGATTCTCGATTCTAAAGTTCATTATTAAAGATCCAGTGGAAAATTTTTCAGTGGGGGATATTATCCCCAATGTAATATACTGGCTCTTGTATGTATATACTTGTGTATTGGCAATAGTGCCATCTAGTGGCTGATCCACATAGGGGATAATGGACCTGCAGCTGTGATCTGCCAGGGAGACAGTGTAAGTGGTAGAAGCCTGTAGGTTTGGAACAGAATGATAATTCTGGCTTCTCGTCTGTATTGGTGTGCACATAAGAACATTAAAACGGCCATACTGGGTCAGACCAAAGGTCTATCTAGCCCAGTATTCTGTCTGCCAACAGTGGCCAATACCAGATGCTCCAAAGGGAAGGAACAGTATAGGTAATCCTCACATAATCCCTCTCCTGTCACCCATATCCAGACAAACAGAGGCTAGGGACACCATTCCTACCCATCCTGGCTAATAGCTGTTGACCTCCATGAATCTATCTAGCTCTTTTTTTTAACCTTGTTAAAGTCCTAGCCTTCGCCACATCCCCTGGCAAGGAGTTCCAGAGGTTGACTGTGCGCTGAATGAAGAAAAACATCCTTTTGTTTGTTTTAAAGGGTGACCCCTAGTTCTTATATTGTGGGAACAAATAAATAACTTTTTCTTATTCACCAGTCATGATTTTATAGACCTCTATCATATCCCCCCTTAGTCTCCACTTTTCTAAGCTGAAAAGTCCAAGTCTTTTTAATCTCTTTTCATATGGGATCCATTCCAAACCTCTAATTTTTGTTGCCCTTCTCTGAAACTTTTCTAATGCCAATATATCTTTTTTGAGATGAGGCAAACATATCTGTACATAGTATTCAAGATGTGGGCGTACCATGGTTTTCTATCGAGGCAATAAGGTATTTTCTGTCTTATTCTCTATTCCTTTTTGAATGATTCCTAACATTTTATTTGCTTTTTTGACTGCTGCTGCACACTGAGTGGCTGTTTTCAGAGAACTATCCACAATGACTTCAAGATCTCTTTCTTGGGTAGTTGTAGCCAAATTAGTCCCCATTATATTGTATGTATAGTTGGGATTTTTTTTCCAATGTGTATTACTTTACATTTATCAAAATTAAATTTCATTTGCTATTTTGTTGCCCAGTCACTTAGTTTGGTGAGATCTTTTTGAAGCAGTTCACAGTCTGCTTTGGCCTTAACTATCTTGAGCAGTTTGGTATCATCTGCAAACAACATTGGCTTCTTGTTGCCTGCAACATGTAACTTTTCTTTACAGTGTCTTGGGCAAATTTTTACTTGAACAATTGCATTTTTCTTATTGAAATAAGTTCTCTTCCAGTTTCAGCTAAATAGAGAGTTAGGTGTGTAATGTTGCTGTAAACTGGTTTACACACACAAGCTATTATTCATATGTAACCAACATCTCGGGAGAACTTTATATCATAAAGAAGCATTTGTGCCTATGGTGAGGGCTTAGAGTTTTGTTTGACACAGAGGGATTCTCTAGCTCCAAGTTGCAATACAACCTAGATTTCCTTGTAGGGAATTCTTTGCTAAGAGTAATTATCTCCTCTACAGCATGATGAGTTAGCTTGGCTATGAGTGGTACATGATACCTTAAGCATATATCAATATTACACTCAAATGTATTTCTCCCCTCTTGGGTCTAAATCTTTCCCGGCACTATGCAAGAGAGGAAAAAGGGCCTGGTGAGCCTCCTCTAGTTTGTCCCTATTGACCGTTAACAGCCCTACTGCTCAAGAGCACAGGGGATTGCACCCAGCCATCATGTCAGTCCACACACACGGACCCCAAGTGGGCTTTAGCCAGGTCTGCAAAATGTCTGTTGTAGGGATGTAAGGGAATAGTTGACTAGTTAACTACCCAATAAGCCGGAGCTACTCAACACACGGCCCACAGACCACATGTGGCCTGCAGCCCGTTTGTTTGCAGCCTGTGGGTGGGAGCTAAAACAAAAAGTAGTCAACATAATGGTCTTCTGTTGAGATGCATTTTAGTAGTTAAATTCTTGGACTATCATTGCTCATTAAAAGTGCTGTCATATGGGTGGACATTGGGTAAATAGTGCATGTTATGAATATCAGCAGTGTATAAATGGAGCCTGCATGTTGTGTAGTCTTGCCTTAATTTTTGTATTCATGCCCCTCAGTGTGAAAGAAGCTATTTGCATATATTTACATATATATTTTCATGTATATGCAACCACACTTAAGTTGCGGCCCTCAGCATGTGCTGTGAGTATCATTGTGGCCCCTGGGACTTCCAAAGTTGAGTAGCCCTGCGATAAGCCTATGCTTATATTTTGCATATTGTGACTATGCTTTACCTTTACCTTATTTAGGTCTGGGTAGGGATATAAAATCTCATTTAATTGGTTAAGCAATTAAACATAGTGTTTAAGCAGTTAACAGATTAAATTGGCGGCAGGCTGAAGTGCCCCCCACCACCTCTCCACTTGCCGAAACAGTCCCTGCCCAGAGCGTGCCAGGGCCTCTCATGGACACGAGGTGCTCTGACCAGGCTGGAACACAGCCCTCTGCCTGCAGTGGGTTGGAAGCTACTTCAGCCCCCACCAGTTAACCAGTACGCATTGCCTGTTACAGGTGATGCTTGTCGGTTAACTTTTCACATCCCTAGTTTTGGGGATTTTGGGCTTATCAAAGTTCAGTTTAGGAGAAGCAGACACAGGTGAAATAGATGAGGTTTTTCACAGGTAAATTTAACTTATATTTTGACTACTCTTATGGGATGCTCTAAAAAAAGGAGATGTTAGTAACAAACGTGAAACCTGCTTTTACCTCAGGGGAAAGTAAGTCTTTACCAGAAGAAGCTGAAATATATGAGGTACCAGCACCCCTTTCTGGTTTCGAGCCTTTAATTCCTTTTTCCACAAGGTAAGAATCTCTTCTTTGTACCACTATGGAAGTTATTAGCACACTTGTCTTGGGATATGCTTACAAAATTTTAACAAAATTATAAGCAGCTGGTTTTGCAAGGTTTGTCATGGTTATGCTCTGATTTTAGAGCATTACTCTGGCCTTTTGCATTCACTTCTGTTAAAATCATAGAAACTATTACAAAGAAACAACATGCTTAAAATGCCATTTGGACCAAAATATCAAACTATGGCATATTTTGGGAAAAATACCCTTTACAAAAATATGAATGTGTTACTTGTATAAAATTAAAAAATATTTAATTTTTAACATTTTATATAAACATTTTATTTTCAGACACTTACTTTCCATTCAGCTAAGTCTAGTGGATTCAGAATTGCCAGAATTAAGCAGTGTGAACAAAACTAGATACTTGCACTAGAAAATGTGGTAACTAGGCTCTTGGCAAGAGAGATGAAATGACTAGAGTGTGGAGCGTAGTGGCTGAGTATGTGGAAATAGGTGATATCTCTGAGGAAGCTGAGAAGGACAAAGCTTTTTTTTTTTAAAGTATGTCAGATGGGTCTTTTATTGAGAGGTTGTGGTGAAAGCGTGAGACATTTAGACACCTGTTGCCTATGAGAATGCAGTGCTATAAATTCCTGTCTCTTCTTAGCTATATGCCTAACTTTAGTATGCAAAGAACTTTATTTATTTTTTCTTACTTTATTTGTATTCTTCTCTCTTACATAATGGCTGTGTCTAGACTGCACCCCTTTTGCGGAAAAGGGATGCAGATTAGACACAGCGCAATTGCAAATGAAGCGGTGATTTAAATCTCCCCCGCTTCATTTTCATGAACATGGCTGCCGCTTTTTTCCGGCACAGAGCTTTGCCGGAAAAAAGCGCCAGTCTAGACGGGGATCTTTCGGAAAATAAGGCCTTTTCTGAAAGATCCCTTATTCCTGATTGTAAGAGGAATAAGGGATCTTTCGGAAAAGGCTTTATTTTCCGAAAGATCCCCGTCTAGACTGGCGCTTTTTCCCGGCAAAGCTCCGTGCCGAAAAAAAAGCGGCAGCCATTTTTATGCTAATGAAGCAGGAGAGATTTAAATCCCTGCTTCATTAGCAATTGCGATATGTCTAATTTGCATCCCTTTTACGAAAAAGGGATGCAATCTAGACGTAGCCAATCTGTTTAGCACATGCCATTTGGAAGAACATTTTTCAAATAGTGAGGATGGAAACAACAATAAGATTTAATAGCAGAAAGTTTTGCATAAATAAATTGACTTGTGAGTTGTACAGATGAATTCTGTAAAGACAGATATTTACAATGTCAAATTTTGTTCTAATACATTGGTGTAAATGCTTGGTAACTCCCTTGAAACAAGTGGGAGTCACTTGGGATTTATATTGCTGTAACTGCGAAATTTGTGGGCTAAATTCTGCTTTATTTACAAGAGTAGTTGTTCACCACATGGTTAGAATTGCTGAATAGCTTTTAATATATGATGGAATTATCAGTATTTCCTGACAATAAACATGCAATACCCTAAAAGTTAACAAAACCTATCGGGTTCAGGAAACTGGAATTTTTTTTAATTAGTTAAAAGAAATCAGATTGACAGTGTCCCATAATATCCATGCTTACTGGAAAGCTTTGTGCTTTGGTGAAGTAAAACTAATTAAATAAATGAAGGCAGAGTGCTTAAAAACAAAACAGTTGGTGTTGAATTGTAATGCCCTTCTCAGGGGGTTCACTTTATTTCTAAAAATCTTGCCTGTGTTGATTTGGACAATGTACTCGTGTCATCAGTTTCTTAGACGATTATACTTTGTCACACATTGTTGGAATTTCTTCTTCACAAAGCAGTGCAAAGCTCTCTTTTTCTTCCGTTAAAAGCATTTTCGGAACAGAGCATCTAGATTGGCACAGATGCTTTTCTGCAAAAGCACTTTTTGCAGAAAAGCGTCCGTGCCAATCTAGACGCACTTTTCTGCAAAAAAGCCCCGATCGCCATTTTCGCGATCGGGGCTTTTTTGCAGAAAAGTGCGTCTAGATTGGCACGGACGCTTTTCTGCAAAAAGTGCTTTTGCAGAAAAGCATCTGTGCCAATCTAGATGCTCTGTTCCGAAAATGCTTTTAACGGAAGAAAAAGAGAGCTTTGCACTGCTTTGTGAAGAAGAAATTCCAACAATGTGTGACAAAGTATAATCGTCTAAGAAACTGATGACACGAGTACATTGTCCAAATCAACACTGTACAGAGCTCCTTAGCATGGGGATACTACTGGAAGGCTACATCTACACAGCCTATCACTGGTATTGTGCATTTCCCCACTGCTGGAGCGTTTCTGTGCTATGGGGAAAGACTCTGGCGGCAGGAAGGCAGTGGGAAACCAAGCAGTGTAGAGGGAGGAGGCGCTGCTGGAACATGTAGAGCCATGTAAGGTTCGTACTCATAGGCCAGCCTTGTTTTTGCTTTAGTTGCCTAAGCAGTGCCTTGCCGACTACACTGATATTTATAGCCATGCTGTGGGAGGGGTACAGTGTATGTACTTTAAATATCGGTTAATTGAATAGTTGATTAACCTCCTGAATTCTTATTGGTTAGTCGACTTTGCTGTCTGGGGGGGAAGGGTCTGAGCTCCTGGACCTGGCACGAGCCGGAACTGAGCCAGGCTGCCTGCCCGCCTGGCTCCTAATACACTTTAAATGCAGAACCGCAGCAGGGCTAGGTCCAGGACCCAGTGCAAGCTGGCTTCATTAAAAAATATACTAGTAAGGGGTGTGGGGGAAATGTGTGTAGTCTATAGCATTAACTTATAAGCGTTTGCTTATCAGTTAATCGGTTAATTGACTATACCCTTACACCCCTAGTGTAGACAGGCCTTCAGGGTATGCCAACATTGCAGTTGAAAACCAATGGCTGGCCCATGCCAGCTGGGCTATGGGACTGTTTAATTGTGGGGTGGGCAATAATTTTTATAGGGGGGCCACTTAATGAATTTTGGTACGTGGTCACGGGCCAGCTCCATGTCTGGAAGGAGCGGGCCTTGCAGCAGAAGGGGTGGGGCTGGAGACTAGTTTCCCCCCAGAGTTGTCTGGGGCCAGAGGCTTTGAATTAAAAACAAAGCAAAGGGCTCGCGGCTTCTGGCCCTGCTGCTACTACATTGCCTGGTAGGCGCCCAGGGTTGCTGCAGCTGTTTAAAGGGCTCACTGCTCCGGCCCCTGCCCAGGGTAGTGCTGCAACTGAGAGCCTTGAGCCATTTAAATAGGATCTTGCTGCTTTAGAAAACCGCCTGTAACTTCAGTGACACGGGCAGCAGGATATAAATGGAAAAACGCCTGTAACTTCAATGACACGGGCAGCAGGATATAAATGGAAAACGGCCAGATGCAGTCCATGGGCTGGATCAAAGTGTATCTGGTCCCCAGGCTACATCTTGCCCAGCCCTGGTTTAATTGTAGCGTAGATGTTCAGGGTCAGGCTGCAGCCTGGGGCTATGTCTAGACTGTAGGCTTCTTTCGGAAGAAGCTTTTCCGGAAAAGCTTCTAAAAAACTTGTGAAAGAGAGTGTTCATACTGCCAAAGCACATAAAAAAAGCGATCTGCTTTTTCGAGAGATAGCGTCCACACTGAATGGATGCTACCTTGCGTTTAAGCTGTGTGTATATACAGCACGAAAAAGTTCACAGATCTCTATTTATGTGAAAAACGTCAAAAACCGGGGAAAGTTGCCCATGCAAGAAAAATGCTCTTATTTTATTTCAAATGTTGTTTTACGTGAGAAGAACAGCATCCTTAACAAGGAAATAATTGTCCAGGTATTTAAAAAGTGATACCTTGCTTTTAATGTTCCAGTGTTCCAAAGTATGTTGCTTTAAGTTATAAGAAAGCAAACATTTGTTACATAATCCAGAGCTGCTTTTATAGTATATTTGGAGAAGTTTGTTTTTAGTTTCTTGTTGCAACTTTTCTAATGTTTCTTGGTTTGCTGTCTGAGCTTTGTAAAAATTCTGAGTTCCTGCTTTACATACTAAATAGGCAGTTCCTGACACATGAAAATACATTGTAAACTATCTCTCATTGGTGCTGTAAATGTCTACAGATGGGCTCATCTCCTATATGCCTTTTCTGTCTGAAACGGAAAGATTAGGTTTTATTTTCAACATATCCACCAATAAATCCCAAATGGCTTCCATGGACTCCACACCATTAGTCCCTTCTTTTATTCCCAACACCTACAGATTCTGATTCTTAGTGGTTCATTCTTGGGTTTCAAGTGTTAAAGTATAATTAGGCAGGTCAAAAAAGAATTTTAAGAGCAAATAATAAAAGACAAACAACTAACAAGCACTTTTTTAAAGTATATCAGAATCAGGAAGCCTGTGAAACAATCAGTGGGGCCACTGGATTATTTATTTTAGATGCTAAAGGAGCACTCAAGGAAGAAAAGGCTGTTGCAGAAAAAGGGAATTAATTTTGTGCATCATTCTTCACTGCAGCGCTTGTAAGGGAGATTCCCACACCTGAGTCATTCTTTGTACTTGTCAGATCTGAGGAACTGTCCCAGATTGAGCTGTCAGAAGAGGAGGTTTTGGAACAAATTGATATATAGTAATAAAACACCAATACCAGGTAGTATTCACCCAAGAGTTCTGAAGGAATTTAGATATTAAACTGCAGAACTAATGACTAATAACAGAACACCACTGGTCAACACCTACAGCCCCCAACTTAAACCTACAATCTACAACAGGCATGTCAAACTCAAAGCCTACTGAGGGCCGCACAAATGAAAACTGATAGCTTTCAGGGCCACCAAAAAATGTACTTTATGAGAAAGTCATAATTATTTATTATTAAAGATTATGTTTTAGGTATATTTTATTATATTTTTTCAGGTCTTGTTTTAATATAATGCAATAATTTGATGTGTAAAATTGTTATTTGATCATATAAAATATTTTTTAATTTAAATATAAATTTAAGGTACTTTTAAATTTTTTATAT